GCCGCCATATAACGGTACCTCCCGATATTCGGTATTTTTATGATTTTAGCGACATTATTCACCGGAATTGTTTCAAATTTGGTATTTGAGATTCGTAATGGATACTACAGCCTATGACAGAAAATTGACTTTACAGGTCCACGTCTTCGTATAGCCCCCATATAACGGTACCTCCCAAATTTTGATCATTTTAGCGTCATTATTCATCGGAATTGTTTCAAATTGCATATTTAGAGTTCGTAATGGGAACTAAAGTCTGTGACAGAAAATTGTCTATGCAGGTCCACGTCTTCGTATAGGCCCCATATAACGGTACCTCTCGATATTCAGTATTTTGAAGAGTTTAAGTACAATACCCACCGAAATTATTTGAGATGTCGTATTTGACGTTCGTAATTGATGCTATAGCCTGTGACAGAAAATTGTCTATGCTTGTCCAGGTCTTCGCACAGCTCCGATATAACGGTACCTCCCTATAAACGATATTTTGAGGATTTTAGCTACATTATTCACCGTTTATTTCAAGTTTCGTATTTGAATATGGTAATGGCTTATAACAAACCATGCCTATGCAGATCCCCAATATAAGGGCTATATTCTATATTTTTAAAATTTTAACAAATTTTTTTAATCATTTTATTTTTTGAAAATTTCCAAATTTGTTTCAAATGGTGGTGGGTATTCAAGTTTCGGCCCGGCCGAACTTACTGCTTTTTAACTTGTTTGTATTGAAAAGTCTGAAAATTCGAAAATGTCTTTCGATTTTTTTGCTAAGTTTTTGTACTCTTCACAGTAGTTTGAATACATAAAATGTTATAGCTACACTTTTTACGGAATTATTTCAGAAAATTTCCTGTGTTTTTGTTTTACATTTCAAAATTTCTGTCATATAGAGCGATGATCGGTCCTCTAGTTGTAGTACCTCCCCCACAAACGGACAACATTTCTAGGAAAACATTTCTAGACTGGACATCTATCTTATTTAAAGGCGTTGTAGTGACAGATCCGAAGATGTGCGTAAGTCTTTTTAACCGGAAATTTATAGAGCACCCTGAGAGTGACAAGAGTACAATCTCTCCCAGCCCAGGAGGTACCACCACAATATACGTTGGGAGATGTTGTCATGAGGCGCAAAGTCATCCAAATCGCTTGATCTTGACGGATTCTATATGATAATGTTGAAACAACTGAATTAATAAGAACTTGAGTTTCTAACTAAACTCCTAAACTTGTCGTTAATAGTTCCCGTTCCTGGTGGCAATTGCGCAGCACAACAACAGCTTTACACGTCATTTGCACACATATAAGCACTTCGCCCTCCAGGCAAGTTTGAAATGTTGGGCGCCAGTTCTTCGTGGAATTCAGAAATAAGAAGTCGAATATCTGTATGTTGTAACAGGGATTTCCCCTAGTTGGGGTGATATTTCCGGAAGTGTTTAGGCTCTACATTTCTGACACTCCACGTCCTTTAGACGGCATAAAAATAATAACGTGCATGGATAATTGTGAATGGGAAACATGATATTGCAGGTAGACGATTTTAAAGAACGTATTACAAAATATCACAATTATATTACCTCACAGTTGGAAATTTTCAATCAAAGCAAAAGCAAATTACCGAGGCTGTTCTAAAAAAACATTGTTCGAGTGTTTAAAAAGTCTTTCGAGTATGTTTCCTTTTACACAACCCGGATATTGGTAGAAAACGAACGCCCTAAATAGTTTACAGACACAATTTGCCATAAAAATTGAGAAAAAGGAAATATGACACGTTTACATTTTGCCGATAATTAAATGAGAATTTCACGTTGAATACAAACTGCGAAAAATTTATAAATTTTTAGCAGATTTTGGCACAGCCAAATTGAATGACTGTAATCAATAAAAAACCAGTAAGGAAAGGTCAAAAGTCGGGCGAGACCGACTATATGATACCCTACACCACTATGCGTATTTAATAGAGCTTCCGTAGCAAAAAAAGTTTATATTTATGTAAAGTGGATCATACGATCCATGAACCAAATAGCGTGCGAGTGCATATGACTTCGATAAGGATTATATTAAAAAATATTTATTGGAGCAATAGATATACCGGATCAAGTTTCACCAAACGGTAAAATACGGTTGAGTATAAAAAAATCTATTCAATTTACCCCTAACCTAACATGTATGGTGAGCGATAACCCTAAAAACGGATGAAGATGTATATCGAAGCGAAATAAAAATCTGAACCGATTTCGATTAAATTTGGCCGAGGAATCTTCGTGCAGTATCTGATGCCCGGTATCAAATATCATTGTTGTTGAGTGCATATATGCATAGCATGTGAGGGACTTTAATACCAAATCGGATGGAACATATATATGGGAGCTATAGCTATATCTGAACCGATTTTCACCAAAATTTGAAGCACTTGCTTTTAGGCTGAATTCTCAGTCATTTGGTGCAAAAAAACCTGAAATCGGATAAAGATATATATGGGATCCAAAAACTCTATATCCAAATACTTATTTCGGTGCTATATCTGATATCTGCTATCAAATATTATTGCTACGGTGTCCATATGACGCATGTGAGGGAAACCCCGAATCGGATGAAACATATATATGGGAGCTATAGCTATATCTGAATCGAAATTTGAAATACTTGTTTCTAGGATGAATCCAGTTTGAATTGTCAAAATTCAGTTCATTTGGGCTGATATTGGCCATTTGATGCACAATTAAACTGATATCGGAGCAATATCCAAATCTGAACCGATCCTGATAAAATTAGGCAGAGGTATTTCTGAGCTTTGTTTTATTTCTGGTACCAAATATTATTCCTGTGTAGTGCATATTACGCAAGTGAGGGATTTAAAGCCATAAATCGCATGAAACCGATTCTCATCAATTTCAATAAGGTTCGTCCTTGGGCCAAACAAATATTGTTTTGGAAAATTTCATTTCAATCGGAAAATAAATGCGACCTGCATTTTGTTCAGACGGAAGGACAGAAGGACTAACATGCATAAATAGACTCAGAAAGTGATTCTATAAAGATTCTCAAAAGTAACTATGTGTCTATCTCGCTTCCTTTTCCATGTTACACTACCGCCACTATGTGGTGCAGAGGGTATAATAATAACAGATAATTATGCCCTCAGCCATATGGCTAGAGAGAGTATATATCATTTGTTACGGCCAAAACGTGCCTCATCGAAATAACGCTAGGTCTCAAGTACCTCCCCCACAAAGGGTCAAAATTTTGATTAATTATCAGGGCTGTCACAGAAACCATGTCGGTTTTGCTTATTGTCGTTTTTGTAAACCAATGTTGGTTTCATTTGGTGTAAAGTAAAGTGAATAAAAAAAGGAATAAGTCGCTATAAATAAAGTAAGATTGTGAACTTACTCATAAAGCTGCTTTGCAGATTTATGGTTTATGGTCCTATAAATATCCTTTAAAAAATCCGCGTTTATAGTCCTTTAAAAATCCTTTAAAAAACGTTTAAAAAATCCACGTTTATAGTCCTATAAATATCCTTTAAAAAATCTTTAAAAAATCCACGTTTATAGTCCTTTAAATATCCTTTAAAAATCTTTAAAAAATCCACGTTTATAGTCCTTTAAAAAATCCACGTTTATAGTCCTTTAAAAATCTTTAAAAAATCCACGTTAATAGTCCTTTAAAAAATCTTTAAAAAATCCACGTTTATAGTCCTTTAAAAAATCTTTAAAAAATCCACGTTTATAGTCCTTTAAAAATCTTTAAAAAATCCACGTTTATAGTCCTTTAAAAAATCCACGTTTATAGTCCTTTAAAAATCTTTAAAAAATCCAAGTTTATGGTCCTTTAAATATCCTTTAAAAATTCTTAAAAAAAATCCACGTTTATAGTCCTTTAAATATCCTTTAAAAATTCTTAAAAAAAATCCACGTTTATAGTCCTTTAAATATCCTTTAAAAAATCTTTAAAAAATCCACGTTTATAGTCCTTTAAAAAATCTTTAAAAAATCCACGTTTATAGTCCTTTAAAAAATCTTTAAAAAATCCACGTTTATAGTTCTTTAAAAATCTTTAAAAAATCCAAGTTTATGGCCCTTTAAATATCCTTTAAAAATTCTTTAAAAAAATCGCCGTTTATAGTCCTTTAAAAATTCTTTAAAAAAATCCACGTTTATAGTCCTTTAAAAATGCTTTAAAAAAATCCACGTTTATAGTCCTTTAAAAATGCTTTAAAAAAATCCACGTTTATAGTTCTTTAAAAATCTTTAAAAAATCCAAGTTTATGGCCCTTTAAATATCCTTTAAAAATTCTTTAAAAAAATCGCCGTTTATAGTCCTTTAAAAATTCTTTAAAAAAATCCACGTTTATAGTCCTTTAAAAATTGTTTAAAAAATCCCAAGCAAATGAAAAGTGAGAGCTCTAAGCAACTTGGTTTATTTTCAATAACAAAACCAATAACATTGGCTTCTATGACAACCAAAACCGATAAAATTCTAATTCGAAAATAAAACCAATAACATTGATTTTCATGACGCCAAATCATTTTTTCTTGTCATTTTTAAAACCAATAGTGACAAAATTGGTTTCTATGACAGTAATCATAACTCAAGGCTGAGGGTATACATCTGTCGGCAAACCCGATTTTACTTGTTTTCATTCATAATTGAATTTCAGGAGCGAAAACCCAACTTCTTCATTGCCATTTTTTGCCTTTGTTGGAGGAAACGCAACCTCGCTGTGGTACAGTGCATTAATTTGTGTAAAAAAGTCCTGGGAATATTCCTCTAAAAATTCACGGTAGGTCTTAAACATTTTTTTTTTTTTCAAAATCTGGTTTGGTCCTTGAAACAAATTCCCTAAAAGCTCTACTCTATGGTGTTAGGGGTTCAAAGTCCAAAATCTAGGACACTTACCAATCTGAAAATGAAAATTTCCTAACTACCTCTATTTACCACGAAATTTTGAAATCTCTTCCAAAACCATAAAATGAAGTGAAGATGAACTCGGAATGTTTTTGTCGTTGTATAAAATTGTTTATTATCGCAGTTTTTTTTTTATTAAAATTATATTTACAATAAGTTATGGTAATAGTATGTTATAATACAGTTTTTAATTTTTTTGGGAACCTTGCATTGCAAAACTCCTCAGTGATTTTTTACAAATGTCATCAAATCGTCATAGTTTTTTTTTGTTTTGAACTGTCCTTTCGTTGTGTCCTTGAAATGTTAGCCTTTGATTGGCCAAACCAAACAAAAAATTTGGCAGAGCATCGATAGCCTTTGTCGTCCTTATACCTTTGGCAATATGTCCTTGGTTTCTTTTTCGGCAATCGAGGGGCGGGGCGGGCGCAAATTGAGGTCCTTCTTTGGATATTTACATTTCCCATGCATCATAGAGAGCCAACCTGTAACGAATCAAAAGGATAGTGGACTGTCGTTTTGGTAATTTGTTTTTTTTATTAAAAATGCATGCGGTTAGCCAAAGTTGGATAGATAGATTAGAAAAGTTTTTAAGGAGATGATCTTTTGTCTACGAAAAATTTTTGAGAAACGTCTTATATTTGGTGGGAGAGTTGGGCTGGTAGAGACTGACTGTCAGACTGCGGTCATAACAGCAAAGATTTGATATCTATTTTAAAGATCTGATTTGACACGGATTTCATTCCACAACTTTATTTTCGACGAGACGCATTTCGATCGTATTGAATAATATACCTCTCTTGGCTGACCACATTTACATACTAAAGAATTTCTTGACACCGAAACTGATACTTAATCCCAAGAATGTAATCATTTGAAAACACTTCACAAAAATGACAAGATCATTAAAATCACAGCTGAAGTAACATAACACAATCAGCAGCAATAAAAAGGGACCAAAACAAAACGTTTTTTCCAATAAAATTCAAGGGGCATAATCAAATCCCGCCATATGGGATTATGTTTACACACACATACACACGCAAAGAGAACAAATTAAAAATCATAAAAAATATCAATAAAAGCGAAACAAACAAGTTTCTGTTTGCAGCTGCAGCTGCAACGGCAACACGAACACGAACACATGTTAAAGCCCTCAGGCCCCCAGAAGGTTGCAATAACCTATGTGACATTATAGAAAAATACATTAAACACCCAAATGCATAACATTGTTTCCTTCCCTGGGGTAAGTAGTTATTAAAGATAGAGGACGAGGGAGGTATGACAAGGATAAAGCAATTCCTTTATTAAAACTGTCTTATAAAAGAGTAGGCCACCAGAAGTAATGTAAATTTAACCGGGTTTTAAAGGTGTACATTAAATTGGAAAATGTTGCAAAGTCCCTCGAAATAGGTAAAATCAGGAGGTAAATTTATAGGGGCAATATTCCGAAACATTGACCTACATTGAAAAATTTCTGCAGAGGTTTTCTACCCCCTTAGAAACCAAAAAAAGCTCAATATCAACTGAAAAATGTGGCAAGACACCGGAAATAGCTTAAATCTGAGGACACCTACATGTGAGGGTTTTACAAGAGCGCGTGCCTTTGTTGATAAGTTTTTGCGAGGATGTTTTCTTTTCTCACGAAGAACCCAAATTTCCCGAAATTAGTATGAAAAAAATATTGTTAAATTAAATCGGGTTATACCCGGGGGCTATACCGACATGAATAATATTTTGTACAAATAATTGTAGATGTGACCCATAGACCTGGTTCAAATTTAAAAAAAAAATCTATCTTAAATGTTGCGAAGTATAGAGCACAGTATTTAAGGCCCTTTGTGTAGGGTTAAAGCCATATGTAATGGGTCCTAAAAATTTTGTCCCTGAAACCCAAAACGGATTTTGACCTACTAACCAAAAACTATCACCTTTACTTCGCAATATACAAACAAAATCCATTTGAAATTGTAAATAGCAGTGATATCGGCTGAAACATGGACGCACGTAGACTATTTTTGCCTAGATGGGTTTTATCTTTTATCTTTACATTGCAAAAAGTTGGTATAATCATAAAAATACCCAATATTTGAAGGTACTGTTATATGGAGGCTATAGGAAATCGTGGACCTATATAGACAAAATTATGCCATAGAAGGTAGAACCCAATTCCACTTCTAAATAACAAATTTGAGACATTTACAATTGTTTAAATACCGAATATCGACACAAGGTTATATGGGGCTGCTATAGGAAAACATGGACCTATATAACCTATGTTCAACGACCGGATACATAACCCATTACAAACTCTAAATATCAAATTCAAAACAAAATCCTTGGAAACTGTAGCTAAAATCATCAGAATACTGAATATCGGATGGAACGGTTATAGCAAAACGAGGACCTAGATTAAAAATTTTCAGCAGAGATGTTGTTATTAATTAAAAGTTTCAAACACCAAATTTAAAACAATTAGAAAAAAAAACATGGCTAAAATCATCAAAATACCGAATATAGAGAGGTATCGTTACATTGGAAGGGTCTATAGGAAAATAAGGGTCTATAGGAAAATAAGCCCTGTCATGTTCTGTAGTATGCTAGAAGCCATACTGAACTACAAATGCCAAATTTAAAACCATTACGTTGAGAAATGTGGTAGAAATTAAAAAAATACCGAATATCGGGAGGCATCGTTATATGGGGACTATACGAAACCTGGACCGATATTGCTCATTATACCCTCAGCCATACAGCTATCATTTGATAGGTCAAAATACGCCTCATCGATATAACGGTTTTAGACCCTAGGTCTCTTTGGACCAAATCTGTTTTAAGACATTGGGAATCGATTTAGGGGTGGACGGACACTCCGTCTGTCTTACTGCGTGGTGCGCACAATAACTCTAGAAGGAAATATCCAATTTGATCCAAACTTGGTACATCGAAATGTTATTATCAAATTTATATCGAGTTCGAAGATGAACAAGATCGGCCCACTCGATCCATTAACTCCGCCACAAAAAATTTAAAATTTTTAAAGAAAATAATTTATTTAAGAATAAGAAAGAATCTTCCAATTATGTGCAAACTTTGCAAGTCCTAGAATTTGATCAGGTGCGAAAATGGATCAGGTGCGAAAATGGACAATATCGGCCCCCTCTATCAAGTAGCTCCCCCACAAAGGTTCAAAACAAAAATTAAAAAATAAGAGTCTGATTGTCTTCAAATTTCTCAAATCCAAATATTTCTCTCAACACAAAATCCGCTATCAAGAACGGATAAAACGGCCCACTATTTCTGGTACATCCCCTACAACGGGTCTAAAACACATGCTAGAGAGGCAATTTATTCACTCCGTGTAGTAAGGATTCTTTATCAGTCCCCTATTTCTGATCCTTCACAATTGGGTATGTAGGTATATCACAAAATTAAAAAAAATTATACGAGAGTTAAAGTCGAATGGATCTGACTACATTTGGGAGCTATATTCAAATCTGAACCAATCTTTTTGTACCTTAAAGTAACAAAATTTGATACACCTATTTCAGAGCTGTATTTGATATCTGATACCAAGATCATTGTTGAGGAATACATATTACGCTTGTGAGGGACTTTAAATCCCAAATCGGATAAAACATATATATGGGCGCTATAGCTACATCTGAACCGATTTACACTAAAATTGATTTACTTTCTGCTAGACTGAATTCGGTGGGATGTACCGAAATACAGGTCATTTGGACTTATATTAGTCAACCCGAAATCGGTTGAAGATATATGGGAGCTATATCTAAATCTGATCGGATTATCTCCAATTTCAATTGGATTCGTCCTTAGGCCAAACAAATATTGTTTGCAAAATTTCATTTCAATCGTATAATAAACAGTAACTATGGATCTATCTTGCTTCCTTCTCCATGTTACAAACAAATGCACAAAGACATAATACCCTTACTACTATGTGTTGTAGGGTATAACAATTGTACCACTTATGTGAGCCAGATCTGTAATTTGTAATGAGATTTGGTACATAAATAAATTTTCCAAATTATATTGGAATAATCAAAAATTTCAAAAAGGCAAAATGAGCATCAGATTAATTTCAAACTCGGCACATTCCAATATTTCTATCAACACAATATGTGGCTTGAAGATTGGATATATCGGTCCACTTCTTCTAATACTTCCCCCCTAAACAGGCTAACATTTTCTATTACAAAAACGCTCCTTCTGGTACCACCCTACCACCATATATAAATATTTCTCTCAATCAAAATTTGATGTGAATATGGAACTTATCGACCCACTTCTTGTGGGTCTGACTACCCACCCACTTCTTGTGGGTTAGTTAAAAAAAATGATTAACGATTGCTTTAGTCTGGAGCATTCTCTCAATGGCCTAACTTCATATTACTCTCTATTATTATGTTTTTGAATCAGTAATTGCAATATTTGCTATTCGCTACCAATATCATGATTCCATCCCGGCAAAGGCAATGGTCACTTGGCTTTTTCAGTTTTTTGATATGACGACTTTGGTGAAAAGCAATCTCTATAAGTGTCGAACATTCTCAAGTGAATAAGAATCACACTCACTTCCTGCCTTTCCTAAAAAAGCATCATAACAAATTATCCGCATTGATTAGCAATTGTTCGCGTAAGATTCGAAACAAGTTTAAATTTTGCCTATCCCAATATTTTATGCAGTGGAATACTTCGATCCATTACATTTGGTACCACACGTACATTTGTAAAATTTTCCAAAATTTGTCACATATCTCATATAATGGAAATATAGTAGTAATATGTATATCAGACTTAGGTCAACAATATTGGTATTGCAATTGCTTCGATAACCCTCCCATAAGTAGCAAACCATTTGAATAATCATAACGCAAGTCAAAATATATTTAAATAAACGGACATTGGCTGATACTTTGTAACTTGTCAATGCCTATTACAATGCAACCTAAAGTACCTAATTTCAAAGATCTACGTCAAAAATTATGGTATATATCTTTATTTCAACAGACAGAGAGATGGACAGACGGACGAATTAAAAAGTCTATGCTGATCAGAAATATGACCCCTATATGGGGTCTCCGACGAATATTTGATGGTATTACAAGCGGATCGACAAGCGGATCCTTCCTTCTATGGATGCACCTAAAACAGCATGGTCCTCCTCTATACTTTCAAAATTTAAAATGGGAGTCAATTATATGCCCTGCTCATACGCTCTCATAGCTAACCCCTATTGAGATTAATCCTACTTCGATATAACAAAATAACTACGTACTCGCTATTCTAAATATTATGGAACATGCGAAATTGTTTCCCATTACACCCGTTTAGGTAGTAATCTTAATAAAATAAGTTGATTGCGAAACCATACCAAATGATTAACAATCTAAATTTCAAAATAACTATTTTGAACTAGAGTGTAAAATTATGGCTACAAGAATATCAGTATGCACTCTACGAAATACCAAAGATATCAAATATTAAATAACCCTTCACCCTTCCCTCCCTCAACATTTTTTGTAGATTACTTACCATTTATTTTGTTAGCATACAGTCTCCATGGGAATTTTCATTGTAGATGTTGTGGTTACCGCCGTCGCCGCCGCTGATGGTGGTGGTGGTATATGGTTACCAAGACTATTTCCTCCACCTCCCCCGCCGCCAAGCGTTGTATTATGCACTGATGTATTCTGAGTTATTTCGCCACCGCAAGCTGCCAACGAAGGTAGACCTTGTGACGATGAAGAATGTTGTACACCGTTTGTGGTATTGGTGATTTCTTGACGCGATCGGGGACAACAGAAACGACGGCATGCAGCCCATACTTGTGGTTGACAACCGACCACAAGAAATATGAATACACCTTGTATGGCATTGATGAAGTCGATGACAACGTTATCGCCGGCAGCGCCAAAAATTATCCACACCAGGACATCGGCAAACCAGGTAACGCCCATTACAACAACCAGTTTAAGGCAAACTTTACCCAGTGCCGTTTTCTCTGTGGTCGATTTGACATCATCGCGTTTCCACAGACCACAGGTCAGTTGATAGGTGGTGGATAGGAAGAGCATAATATTGATGCCCAATAAAATTCCAATTGGTCCAAAGAAATAGGCAGAAATGGGTGATTTTTCTTTTCGATTGAACCAACAGACAAGGTCTCCATTATCATTGCGTTCACCAAAGCCAGGACGTAATAAGGCCGATTCGGGCATCAGGTCAACACATGCCGCAATGGCTGCAATTAGCAGGGGGATACCCCAGGCGTAGGCTGAGTACAAGCGTAGACGTATTACTTCTTGATTTCTTTCCAATGAACTTGGACGGAAATCTCGGAATGTCCACCAAATATTAAAACACATGGTGTTGAGCCAAAAGAAGGCAGCCAGATAAAATAGGTGGATGCCAGAGGCCACCAATTTACACAGGCCAACATCTGTGATGGTTGAATTACTCACTGTACTATAGGCCAATAGGAAATTGCCAATTAATAAGCAGAACACATAGTAGATTTGGCATCTCCAATGCAGGACATGGTGTATGGAAGGCATTAGATAGCTGGCCACCAGGGTGGCGGCCAAAAATATTACGGAGATAAATAGCCCAACACTGAGGGTGGCAATGTGAGACTCCTCATCCGAAACCTTGCCAAAGTGATGAAGACAAGCAAAGACCTTTAGTTCCTCAGCTTCGTTGTTGTGGGAACGTATGTACTCTAGGCAGTAATCCTCGCCGGATATGTTCTTTTGATGATCGGACAAATGAAAGTGCCCTGTTTCGTTTGACAGCAATTGTTCGACAGACCAATTTCCTGCCAAGGCATAGCTGGAGTTTTCAATGGCATCTTCTTCGTTGCATTTTGGAAATCCGTAGATAGTTTGATAGCTGACATTGTGTGGCAGGGATAGATTCAATTGGTTTTTATGGGTTCCATCGGTGACACAGCGTTTCTTGCGAATATCGTAGATGCCATGTAGACAGCATTTGCGAAATTTTAATGTGGGTTCCGGGTGTTTGGGCTTGGGGAAACACACCAAGGCGGCTTGTTGATCAACACAGAAACGTTGTGGTGGTATGGATAGCAGACGATCGGGCAGAAAGAGGGAGCCATTGGAGAAGATGACAAAACTGTCGGTGCCAGTGTATAAAACCAAATCGTCTACGGTACAGGAAACATTGTCATCATCATCCCCATTCAATTGTTCTTCCTCAAGGCCGCGGGCCTTACTGATGGGAAAGACATTATCCTGAAATGTTAGGAACTTTGGACTGGAACCCTGTGGTCGGTAGTATTCCTTGCGATTCATTAGATAAATCAAAGGTACCCATTTATCTGTGGCTCCGGCCAAACAAGTTTTGGTTTTATCCAGATATTCAGCAAAAAGACAACATTTGTTAAGTTCAACCCTCTTGGGTGCTGGCAAACGATTTGCTGGTGTCCTGCTCACAGGGGGTGAGTTGGTGGAGGGCTTTATGTATTGTGGTGGTAAGGGTATCTCTGTTCGATTTGTTGAATTATCCTCGGCAGCTGCCAAATTGTCTGATGTTGTGTGTGGTGGTGGTGCTGGTGTTTCCATTAAAACTAAAGCTAAACACTGTTGTGTCATGATGATGCTTAAACAGAACAATGCCAGCCATAATCGTTGACATAATATTCCAACGGCAGCTTTGCTTTGCCTTTCTTTTCTGTGTGGCGGCCGACTGTTACCCCCTTTCGCATGGCAATTGTGCTGCTGCATGCTGTTATCTTGAATAAATGTCGCAGCCATTGTGTCTTGTCCTGTCTACGTCTCTTCTCGGAGTAGTGCTAGGTACTTTCCGAACGTATTTTATAGTTTAATAAACCCTCAACGTTTGTTTCTTTCACTTTTAATGGCAAAATTAAAATGATCGGCAGCTGATTTGTAGCAGTGGTAGTGGTCACCGGGTGATGGTGATGATGAGGAATGGCAGCAGCTATAAAATTCATTCATAAAATAAACATTCAACTTTCCTTGGTTGTTTAACACAACACTTTGCAATTAATTTCAATTCTCTCGAGTTGGTATCAAAAAGAGGAAAATTTATGTGTATTTTTCTTTCACACTGTTTATTATTTTTCACTTTTTTAAGGTATTTATCTAAATTTGCTTTTCTTTTCTCACTGTGTAATTAAAAATGCATTGTTTGGTATGTCGTTCGTTTTGTTGCTGCTGCTGGTGATTTTCCCCCTGCTCTTGATGTCATCTACAAAAAGGGGAGTAGTATTAACACCTTTTGTTGTCTTCTTTTTGATTGTCGAAAGGTAGGTATTTTTATTTCTTTCTTTGCTTTTACTTCAAACTATTTTCTTTTCATCAATGTCTTGTGGTTGTCTGTTGCTGCTATTATTTCTTGTTTGGTATTGTTCTGCTTTGCTTGGCTTCACTTGATGAATTCCATTGTTTTGCAAGCAATTGGTTACAATTTCACTATTGCAGTTGTTGTTTCTTCTACTCTTGCTTATTACAACTCACAACACACTCACTCTCTCTCCTCTCTACCTCTCACTTGATAAATGCAACTCTCTGTTTGTTTTATGCACTGGTTTCTGACCACTGTATTCTGTTTGTAAATGCAATTACTCTCACATAACATTCAATTATTTGTTTTACTCTGTCATTGTCATCAATTATTTTGTTGGACCGCACACTTGCTCTCTTCTCTCTCGCACTCTCAAAGTAAGACAATAAGAAAAGTAGTTGCTGCTAGTTCTTTGGGGGGCTGTTGCTTAAGAAACCAACTAATATCGAGTAACAACAATAAAAACACACACTGTTACTGGTTTAAGACAATGAGACTGACGGCTGGAGCTGCTCCGGTGCTTTTGTTTATTCTCGTATTACTATTATCTATGTTTGTTTGTTTGTATGTATGCGAGTAAGTACACACTGCCTGGATTTAATAAAAGAAGAAGTACTACATGGCAATGTACTTCACATTCTTCATCATCTGTAGACACAGAGCTAGCTCACTAACTCGTATTGTTGTCATACTCTTTCTTTCTTCTTGTTTTGCGTTATTTTTTTAACTTCTTTAGCACTCACTTCAAATAAAAAGATTCAGTAAATCGATTTCTTTTAACTTCTTTCTTTAGACTTTTCTATAATTTTTTTAAGTATATTTTTGTTTCTTATTTTTTATAACAAATTTCTTTTCTTCACTATTTTTGTTTATGTTTGTTGTTTTCTTCTTTTTTGTTCAGTATTTAACGCGCCCGTCATCCGTAATCATGTATTGTAGCGTTCGAATTGTAAAATACATCTGATTTCTCTTGAGAGATATTCAACATTGGCAAGCTGCCGTCGTTGTGGTGTCATCGCCGTCGACGTCGCTGCTGGCGTCGTCGCCTTTGTTGTATTCAAAAAAAACATGTTGTATGCCAGATGTACAACACACATGCACACATCTCGCGGCACATAAACAATGTGCGTGCATTCAAGTAATGCTAATATGGTGATTTTTATATGCACCACATTTGAACAAAACGTGCTATTATCGAAATTATTTACAATACAATAAAATTAATATATTATTTTTATTGTCAAATTTATCATGATTGGTCAATTAACAGGGTTAAGACGGGTAGAGATTTGGTATGTAAACCTTGGTATGTAAACCTTTATAAATCCATTGTATACACAGAAATCAGAGATGAGAACCTGTTTTTACTTCAGTAAAATTTGTGGTAAAAAAATGGTAAGTTACATGAAAAGGCAGAGTCTTTGGGATAGTTATTTTTGAACTGATTTTACTTTCTTAATTTTAACATGGGTTTTCCATCTGCTTTGTTTCGGAACTGCAAGAATGTAAAAGTTTTGGGCCTCAATTCTTGTTCTATGAAAAAGTGAAATGAAATTTTTTATAAAGGAAAGAAATGCCAAAGTTCTGGGCCTCAATTCTTGTTCTATGAAAAAGTGAAATGAAATTTTTTTATAAAGGAAAGAAATGTCAAATGAGAAAGAATCCAGCCCCTGGAACAGAGCATTTGATAGAAAAAATACGAACAGAACAATTATACTTTTATACTACGTTTACACATAGCTGGATTTAGAAGGTCCTGTTGAGTTCAATAGACATTAAATCTAAAAATAAAAAAACGGATAAGTACGTCCAGGCCGGGCATTTAACACACTTCACCCTTTGCATGAAACTTTGAAATCGGAAAAAAATCCGTTGAAAATGGCACTATAATTTAAAATATTCCGAATTACAGATATTTTAGGGCTATTCGAAAACGTGGACCCTTATAACCACTTATCCGCCAGAGAAGACGGTTCCTATTACGAACTCTAAATTCCGAAGTTGAGATAATCTGTTGAAAAATGTGGCTAAATTCGTCAAAATACCGAATATTGGGAGGCATATGGGGGCTATACGAAGGCGTGGATCTGTGCAGGTAAATTTCTGTCATGGGAGGCAGTACCGATTATGAACTCTTTATAACAAATTTGAAACAATTCCGGTGAAAACTGTGACACGAATCATCAAAATACCGAATATTGAGAAGTGCAGTTATATGGCGGTATCCACTTCAAACTCCAAATTTCGAATTTGAGTTCGTGTGGCTAAAATCTTAAAAATGCCGAATATTGAGAGGTACTGTTATATGGGGGCTAAATGAAGGCGTGTATCTGAACAGCAAATGTTATTTCATAGGAGGTAGCACCCATTGCGAACTCCAAATACCAAATCTGAAACAATTCCGTTAAAAGCTATGACACTAAACATTAAAATTCCAAATATTCGAAGGTACAATTATATAGGGGGTCTATACCAAAATTTTTGGCCCATTTGTTCAATTTTCTGCAGGGAAGTTTCTTACATACTGGGAACACATATCCCCAATTTGCAGAAAATGCTATTGGAAATTGTGACTAAAACACCCAAAAAAACTTAAATCGGTCGGTATAGTTATATGGGACCTATACCAAAACTTGGACCTATATAGACCATTTCAACACTAAAAGTCTTGCAAACCTAAAATACATATGAATACATTTTTATCAATTTATTTTTATTTCGTTCGGAAGCTAGGGTGATTTCCACAGACGGATATACAGTCAGACGAACGGACATTGCAAAATCGAAACGGAATTTTATGCTGATCAAGAATATATATTCTTTGTAAATGTTTATTTCAAGGTGTAACAAACAGAATGAGAAACTTAAGGTGAGAATACATAAAAGGCGTTTTTTTGACTGCCTTAAGTCATCGGTTGGGCCTTTCGTAGAGGAACAAAGGAGTTTCAGGTTGACTTAGTTCGTTTTTAGCCCTACGCTCCTTTTTTCTTTTCCGAAGAAGCCAGTCGATTACTTAAGCCACTCAAAAAGGCATTTTATGTATGCTCACCTTTAAGTCGTCCACTGTTTCATTTTTTTAAAAACAGATGATTTTTAGGTTGACTTAGTTTATTTTTTTATTTAAAATTTGAGCTCACTAGTGCAAATCTGTAATTCGTTTTCTGAGTTACCGACAAAAATCGTTAAATTAAAATACTTATAACTTCGGTAATTAATGAAAATTTTTGGCAAATTTGCAATCATTAATCGCTTTTTGACTGCGATGGTGCCCAATCAAATTTTTAAATTCCTCAATATATATTTAAAGCATTGTAGAATTAAAAAGCAATCATATGTTCATAATTTGTTCAAAATTATTTATTTGACAAGATCCCATTGTCAAAATGTATATTTATAAATCCATTGTACATTGAAATTTGATAAGGTCAATTACAGAAAATGCAGAGATGGATAGGCTTATTTGAAACGACTTTATCTTTTTAATTTTATCATGATTTAAAGCTTCCATGTTGAAAAACGCAACGTTGTTACCAATAGAAAAATGGCGATTTTCAAGTAGAATTTATTGGTTCATTGGCAACACTGTATATTCTCATTATGTTGTTTTTGTATGACGTAGTGTGCCTCTGCTTCTGTCTGCTTGCACTTCAGCAAGCAGTGTTGTATAAAAGGGTATTATTTTGCGGCACCATTCTCTGCTGCTACTAAAGCGTGTGTGTGTGTGCCTATGGTGAATTTACAACATAGATGCCCAATGTAATAGTATTGGTGAGAGCGACGAAATAACACTGGAAGAAAATATTTTTCTATTCATTTTATTTAGTCGCCAACGAGATAGCGACGAAAGCACATGTGTGGCGGGTGTCGTAATTTTTTGCTTTTTCTGGGAAATGTAAAATTAATGAATGTACAGGGATCGCCGGGTTATACTATTGCGGGACAAAGGTAATTTTTTAATAAAATTAGTGTTAAAATTAAGTTTTTCAAAAACTTGACACAACATATTTTTGACAAACGGCCCATCTGAAAATGGCCTTCCCTTTTTTATTATAATATATAAACTTATTAAGTTAGATAAACCCATTTTTAAATTCTCCTCCACCATATCTTCATCATTACCTCTATATTGATTTACCCATTCCTTCAACTTTTTTTATAAAAAGTTTCTTATACATTTTAAATCGTTTTTCTTTTTCTTCCCCCTGCAAACAATTCATGTCTTTATGAACAGTTTCAAAATGTTTTTTTATTATATTTCTTATTTTTTTAAATGTCTTATAACATATAACACATTGCATATCATCAAAAGCATTTTGTAGCATAAAATGCTTTTGAAATGACATCACTGACATATCACAATAATTTTCAGTTTATGTGTTCACTAACAGCAGTCTCGATTACGATTAAATGTAAATATTACACAGAATTTCTGCCTGTGTAGCTTGTCTCTCCCACTCATATATCTGCTTTCCTATTGGTTGATTGGCGATCAAACAAAAGAGCGTAAGAATACGTGTGAGTTGAAATTGCTGAAATCAGCCACTACTGGGCATCTATGATTTACAATGTAAATTTTACAACATGTGTTCAGCCAAGCCAACAAGAAAGAGAATAAGTATGTGGTTGATCCTTACTCTCGGTCTCTCTCTCTCTCTCTCTCTGAATGCGTTTGCCGCTGATTATCTCTCATCTAATATGAACTTTCATTAGATGAGAGAGAATAGAATACCCACATGTGTTCATTAATTGTAATTTTGTTTTCTTTTTGTTTTAATGTGCTATCATATTTTTCTTGGAAACAAATAAATGTGATATGTTTTTCTTGGTGTTGTTGTTGTTTATTTTTTTTATTGCATGACAATAATCATGTGGACTGCCTGCCTCGTTGTGTGTGCATGGAAAATGTAGTTCATCATCACATTTTCCTTTTGTCGTTGCTAAAGAGTATCTAATGACGACAATGATGATGATCGTTATCACAATATAATGTGTATTTGTGTGTGTGCGTGTAACAAACTCTTTGATGTCTCTTCCATGGAGATGTTATTTTTGGGATGTTTATTTAATGTTTGACATTTTGTTTACAATTAACAAAAATTCACTAATTAATGGGTTTGTTATTTTTTGCGAAAATAAATTTCAATTTTTAGCCATATTTTTTTTTCAAAATTTTGTTTATAAAAAGCGGTTTAACAAGTCTCATTTCAGGAAACTTGATTGCCCGATATTTAAGATTGGAATTTATTTATTTTTTTTGTTTTTTTTGCTTTGTAAAAAAACACGTTTTGCCATATGGAAAATTTCTTTTTAAATTAAAGCCTTATTAATTTTTTGATTTTTTCAACAAATTTTTGGAATGTAAAAGTTTTTACCGGGATAACCGATTTTCCCTTAATAATGTCGAATAAAATTGCAAAACTAGTAGATTCTTGCAGGTATTGGAACAGAGAATTTTTTTGAGATGTTCTGTGTTCTTCAAAGCATGGTAGGTCATTTTGAATTAATTTGAAAAAAGAAACAACTGAACTAAACCCTTCTTAGGCTGAGAATACATAAAACGCTTTTTTTGACTGGCGATGCATAGACCCAAAATCGAACTATGTCAACCTAAAATTTCTTTATGCCTCTACGAAGAAGCCAGACAATGACTTAAGTCAGTCAAATAAAGGTGAGGATACATAAGCAGCTTGGCATCATGGCTAGGCATTTATATGTCAATTATAAAGAGAAACGACGGCAGAATTTGAGTG